TATATATATATATAAAGTTGCACCTATGAAGCTGTGATTTTTCTTTCTTTTTTAAAAAGATGTTATGTATTTATTTGGGAGAGAGCACGGTGCGGGGGTGGCACAGAAGGAGAGGGAGAAGTAGACTCTCTGCTGAGCTGGGAGCCTGACACAGAGCTCAGTCCCAGGACCCCAAGATCATGACCTGAGCTGAAATCAGCCGCTTAACCAACTGAGCCGCCTAGGCACCCCAACCAAATAGCTTCTTATTTTAGAATTCTAAAAGATGCAAGAACAGCTTGGGTGAGATTTGCGTTTGTGCATGACTTATCTTACTAGTACAGATGAAACCAGGCAGCAACAGGGACTATTTTAATGGTCTCCTATTCACCTTGTTGGTCAGGGAGGGCTTTCCCTCCCAGGTTATGGGGAGGCCAAACACAGGACACCTTACACTGAGCAGATGAGATCCATATACTGGCAGAGTACTAAGACCCACCACTCAGGGATAATCTGGAACTGTGCCTGTTCCCTATGATGAAGAGGGTTGTTTGGCTAGGGGACCTCACGTACAGAGGCAGAGTGGGGAGAGGAATTTGCAGTTAGGCCAGTGGAGGCCTTACTACTGGTTTTCTGAGATGTCAGAGCAGTACATAGTAGTGGGCCTTAATTTTAAGCCTTACGCCACCAGAGCTGCGTGCCTTTACAGGCCGGCAGGCATCACTGGCCCCTATACTCCTCATATATTCCGAGAACTGTTATTTGTATGTTTATTTTTAGATTGCTCCTCAAAGTCGGAGACCCTCTGAGTCCCACTCTGCATAGTTCTAATACCTTTTCTCCTGAAGAAAGAAAGAAAGATAAATTTATTCAAACAATGAAACAAAATACATTTATGTGTAAGGATTTTTTGAAAAACCAAATAGAGACATAAGCAGCTAAATTTTGGAGAATTATGCCCCCCCCTTTTTTCTTCTCCGTTTATGCATAACAACAAAAATTGAAACAGAAGGAATTGCAAACAAAGAAAATTATTTTAGTGTCCTCCAAAGAGCTATAGACAATATACTCCTTTTCCAAAAAGGAACTAAAGGGAAAGCATAGAGCAGGAACAACCTTGAATCTCAATGAATATAACTTTTGTGACCTAGAACTTTTCTTTTCAGAACTCCCTTTATTGTTGTCTCCTTCTAGTGCTTCATTTTTTTTAAATTGTCTTTACCGATTCTTGGGTTTCTGAAAACTAAAGTGTTAACCAAATTGAAATAGACTTCTTTTTCCTCTCATAACTATGTGTAAACAAATGAAGTTATTTCCAGGTGTAAAACTGTTTGTGTCACATATTGCAGAAGACAAAATAAGCAACTAGGAGTTATGTCATGTGGGAGGCAGAAGAAATGCGCTTGACAGCTTCCCAAGGTTACATTTCTAGCCTGGTTGCTCGGGCTGACTGCAGTCTGTACCATTTGCACTATCAGAACATCAGATCCTAAGTGTTGAGTTTACATTTATGCCAAGTTTTTATTAATTTAAAGTTTAAAATGTGAAGGGAAAATAGAACTTAACGGGACCTATCAGATTAGAGACATATATGCAAGCACCTTACAATCTAGCCACTGAGTTAACAATTTGCAAGCCAGTATCTTCTAGGAGATTAAAGTCAGAGAGGATTGAAGATTTGGGAACTCCTGAAGTATGAAGACTATTTCCAGAGAATCCTTGTTGCAGACTGAATTGTGTCCCCCCCCCCCGACCCAGATTCAAATGTTGAAGCCCTAATTTTCAAAGTGACTGTATTTAGCAGTAAAGCCTTTAGGGGCACCTGGGTGGCTCAGTTGGTTAAGCATCTGCCTTCCGCTCAGGTCTTGATCCTGGGGTCCTGGGATTGAGGCCAGCATCAGCCTCCCTGCTTAGCTGGGAGTCTGCTTCTCCCTATGCACATGTGTGCACACTTGCTCTCTTTTTCTCTCTTTCATATGAATAAATAACATCTTAAAAATGAATCTTTAAAGAATTAAAAGAGGTAATTCAGGTTAAACAAGGTCATAAGGCTGGAGCCTGAATTCAGTAGGACTGGTATCCTTAGAACAGGAAGTGATACCAGATATCTCCCCCCACCTTCTTGTGTGTGCACAGAGGAAAGGCCATGTAAGGACACAGGGAGAAGTTGCCAATCTACAGGCCAAGAAGAGAGGTCTACCAGAATTCAGTTCTGATGGCACCTTGATCTTCATCTACTAACCTCCAGAATGGTGAGAAAATAAAGGCCACCCAGTATGTGATATTTTGTTATGATATTCTTTTACTTTACAAAATAGAAAAAAAATCATTAAAAAAATAAAAACGTAGGGCGCCTGGGTGGCTCAGTGGGTTAAGCCACTGCCTTTGGCTCAGGTCATGATCTCAGGGTCCTGGGATCGAGTCCCGTATCGGGCTCTCTGCTCGGCAGGGAGCCTGCTTCCTCCTCCTCTCTCTCTCTCTGCCTACTTGTGATCTCTCTCTGTCAAATCAATAAATAAAATCTTTAAAAAAAAATAAAAAAAATAAAAACGTAGAACATATGTAAGAATTAAAACATGTTGCCAGTGGATTTTAGCTAAATGTTTTCTTTAAATTATAATTCATGGGGTGCTAATTTCTTATTCATGGAAGGGTTCAGTGTTAATGATACATTTCTATTATTTTGAATTTCTCAGCTAACTCAGTAGCAGATTGCTTGTCAGATTTTAGCATTACAAAGGGATTTCTTAAAATGAATATACCAGTATGGCTTGGTTTAGTTAATTTTCCTAACATCAGTAGTCTCTGAAGGCTTAATGCTGCTTCTTTTTCCTTATTTCTTTCTTCCTTGATGCTATTCATAAGCATTTTTTCCCCTCTCCTCTATTTTTATCCCCTCTCAATGATCTTTATGTCTAACATGGGCCTCGAACTCACCACCCTGAGATCAAAGGTTGTGTGCTCTACTGACTGAGCCAGCCAGACCCCCCTGCCTCTCATCTATTTCTGGGTCTACTTTAGGTTGAGTTGAAACAATGTGCTTTGACAGATAGAATTTGTAATTTGTGACAGGGTGATAAAGGATTATCAGAAACTTGTTTGTTTCTTTTTTTTTTTTTTAAGATGTATTTATTTATTTATTTGACAGAGAGAGAAATCACAAGTGGCAGAGAGTCAGGCAGAGAGAGACAGGGAAGCAGGCTCCCTTCTGAGCAGAGAGCCCAATGTAGGCCTCTATCCCAGGACCCTGAGACCATGACCTGAGCTGAAGGCAAAGGCTTAACCCACTGAGCGCCCCAGGCGCCCCAGAAACTTGTTCTTACGGGGCACCTGACCAGCTCAGCTGGTGGAGCATGCAACTCTTGATCTCAGGATTGTGAATTCAAGCCCCATGTTGGGCATAGAGCATACTTAAAAATAAAATCTTCTAAAAACAAACTGGAGGCTCCTGGGTGGCTAAGTTGTTAAGCATCTGCCTTCGGCTTAGGTCATGATCCCAGGGTCCTGGCATTGAGCCCCACATCGGGCTTCCTGCTCAGTAGGGAGCCTGCTTTTCCCTCTCCCTCTGCCTGCCACTCTGCCTACTTGTGCTATCTCTCTGTCAAATAAATAAATGAAATCTTTTAAAAAATAAAAATAACAAACCAGAAAACTTTTTCTTAAGAAAAATGATTTTAAGAACCTGAAATCATGGAATTTGAGTTGGAAGGAACCCTACAAATAATGTTCTAGGCAATAACTAAATTATTCTGGATGTGATCTCCAGAGGTAAAGATTATATGATACGGAAATTCCCTTTTTAACTATTGTAGAATTTTAATAATACTCATTTTCAGAATTCTCTACAACAGAATGAAATTTCTTTTTTCCCGTAGTGTGTTAGCTTCTTGCTCTGGGGACAGAATGGTTGCTGCTCTACCCTATGTCCTTGCAATCATGAGGTCTTCCTTCAGTCTTCCCATCTCTAGTTTTTTCCATCTTTCCTTATAGTTTCCTGTATTTACCCTGTGGTTTCATTCTGAAAAGATAAATCACTTTTTTTTTCTTGAGCAGTGTAGGTCCATAGCAAAACTGAGCACAAAATACAGCGAAATCCCACATACTCCCTGCCCCAAACATGGACAGCCCCCTTAACTGTCAGCATCCTTCACCAGAGCGGTACTTCCGTTACAGTCGGTGAAACCTACACCAACACGTCATAATCACCCAAAGCCCATAGTTTACGTTAGGAATTGTTCTGGATATTATACATTCTGTGGGTTTGGAACAGCTGTATAATGACATGTGCTCACCATTATACTATCATACACAAGAGTCTGACTGCCTTAAAAAGTTTTCTGTTCTGCCTACTCTCTCTCCACCCTCCAACCACTGATCTTTTTACTGTCTTCACAGTTTTGCCTTTAGTAGAATGCCGTATAGTTGGAACCATATAGTATGTAGACTTTTCAGACTGGCTTCTTTCACTTAGCAGTATGCATTTACGAGTCCTCTATGGATTTTTTTTTTGTTCAAGTACCATTAACATATGGTATTATGTTAGTTTTAGGTGTACCATATAATGACTCAGTGATTTTACTTATCACTCGTCTCAGTGGGTGTACTCATTTTTTTATTTTTTAAAGATTTTATTTATTTATTTGACAGAGAGAGACACAGCGAGACAGGGAACACAAGCAGGGGGAGTGGAAGTGGGAGAAGCAGGCTTCGTGCCGAGCAGGGAGCCAGATGCGGGACTCGATCCCAGGACCCCAGGATCGTGACCTGAGCCGAAGGCAGACGTGTAACAGACTCAGCCACCCAGGCGCCCTGGTGAGTGCACTCTTAATCCCCTTTATCTATTTCATCCACTCCCCTACCCACCTTCTCTACGGCAATTACAGTTTGTTTTCTGTATTTCTTTTTAAGATTTTATTTTTAAGTAATCTCAACATCCAGTGTGGGGCCCAGACTTAAAGCCCCAAGATCAAGAGTTGCATGCTCCACTAACTGAGCCAGCCAGGAGCCCCTGTTCTCTGTATTTAAGAGTCTGGTTTTTTGTCTGCCTCTTTTTTTCTTTGTTCACTCTGTTTAATTTCTTAAACTGTACATATGAGTGGAATCATACGGTATTTGTCTCTCTCTGACTTATTTCACTTAGCATTATACCCTCTAGATCTGTCCATGTTGCAAATTGCAAGATTTCATTCTCTTTTATGTTTGAGTAATACTCCATAGTGTGTGTGTACGTATATGTATGTGTGTGTGTGTATATAAACACACACACACATACATGCACGACATCTTTATCCGTTTGTCTGTCATTGGACACTTGGGCTGTTTCCATAGCTTGGCTATTGGAAATAATGCTGCAATAAACACAGGGGTGCACATATGTTTTCTAGTTAGTGTTTTTGTTTTCTCTGGGTATAAATGGTGGAATTACTGGATCATTTGGTAATTCTATTTTTAATTTTTTTCTTTAAGTAGGCTCCACTCAGTGCAGTCATGACCCTGAGATCAACACCTGAGCTGAGACCAGGAGTCAGACACTAAACTGACTGAGCCACCCAGGCGCTCCTCTATTTTTAATTTTTTTATGAACCTCCATACTCTTTTCCATAGTGGCTGTACCAGTTTGCATTCCCACCAACAGAGCATGAGTGTTCTTTTTTCTCCACATCCTCACCTGAAGTTGTTATTTCTTGTGTTTTTATTCTAGCCATCTGACAGGTATACAGTGATACCTCATTGTGGTTTTAATTTGCACTTCCTCATGATGAGTGATGTGGACATTTTTTCATGTGTCTGTTAACCATCTGGATGTCTTCTTTGGAAAATTATCTGTTCAGGTCCTCTGCCCATTTTTTAATTGGATATTCATTTTTTTGGTGTTGAGTTGCTTGAGTTCTTTTTTTTTAAGATTTTATTTTTAAGTAATCTCTGTACCCAGTGTGGGGCTTGAACTTAGAACCCCTAGATGAAAGGTCACATGCTCTACTGACTGAGCCAACCGGGCACCCCAAGTTCTGTGAGTTCTTTATATATTTTGGAATATTAACCCATTATCAGATAGATCATTTGCCAGTGTCAGAGAGGTTACTGCCTGTGTTATCTTCTAGGATTTTTATGGTGTCGGGTCTCACATTTAAGTCCTTTATCTATTTTGAGTTTATTTTTGTGGATGATGTAAGAAAGTGGTCCAGTTTCATTGTTTTGCATGTAGCCAACCAGTTTTCCCAACAGCATTTGTTGAGGTGACTGTCATTTATCCATTGTATATTCTTGCCTACTTTTGTCATAGATTAATTGACCATAAAAGTGTGGGTTTATGTCTGGACTCTCTACTCTGTTCTCCTGATCCATGTGTCTGTTTTTGTGCCACTACCATACTATTTTGGTTACTATAGTTTTGTAGTAGATCTTGAAATCTGGGACTGTGATACCTCCAGCTTTGTTCTTTTTCAAGATTGCTTTGGCTGGTTGGAATTCTTTTGTTGTTCCTTACCAATTTTAGGATTATCTGTTCCAGTTCTGTGAGAAATGCTGTTGGTACTTTGCTAGGGGTTGCGTTAAATCTGTAGATTGCTTTGGGTAGAATGCTCTTAACAGTATTTGTTCTTCCAATCCATGAGCATGGGCTGCCTTTCCATTTGTTTGTGTCATATTCAGTTTCTTCATCAATGTTTTATAGATTTCAGAGTTCAGGTGTTTCACCTCCTTACTTAAGTTTATTCCTAGGTATTTTATTATTTTTAGTGCAATTGTAAATGGAATTGTTTTCTTAATTTCTCATTCTGCCACTTCATTATTACTGTGTAAATGCACCAGATTCCTGTTGTGTGAGTTCTTATTGAACTCATTTATTCATAAAATGCAGATTTTCCTTGTGTACTGTGGTGTCTGATGCAATGCATCCTGAACAAACTAGCAACTCGCTAGTTTACTCTGATGACTAAATATGGTCTGCTGTGTGTGGTCTTTCTCATTTTCTTCCAGTATCTTTAAGGATGAATCCTAAGAACTTGGACGCTTGCAATAAAGGAATTTTCTTTTAACCCCAGCTGTCTCTGGATTGGTGACATACACTCATTTGTCAACATTTCCAGTAGGTGGAGAGGTGGCTGTTTGAGCTCTGTTGTGTACAGCTTTGAACTAAGACTGGAGTTCCTTTCTGGGTGCCTCCTTCTGAAAGGTAGAGCAGTTATCAGATAACTGGCTTTTTGCTCTTATGTCCTCTTTAGAATGTAACAATAAAAATAATTTTTAAAACCAAAAAAATGGAAAATAGGCACCCCTATTAGTTGTTGTTTTAAAGTCTATTTTGTCTGGGGCCCCTGCTGGCTCAGTCGGTAGGGTGTACAACTCTTGATCTTGGGGTGATGAGTTCAAGCCCTATGTTGGGCATATAGATTACTCAAAATTTAAAAAAAATTTTTTAAAGATTGTATTTATTTATTTGACAGAGAGAGATCACAAGTAGGCAGAGAGGCAGGCAGAGAGAGAGGAAGGGAAGCAGGCTACCTGCTGAGCAGAGAGCCTGACGTGGGGCTTGATCCCAGGACCCTGGGTCATACCCGAGCCGAAGGCAGAGGCTTTAACGCACTGAGCCACCCAGGCGCCCCTAAAATTTTTTTTAAATAAAGTCTATTTTGTCTGATATAAGTATTGTTACCCCAGCTTTCTTTCCACCTCCATTTCCACAGTAAATGTTTTTCCATCCCTTCACTTTCAGTGTGCATGCCATTAGGCCTGAAGTGAGTATCTTGTAGGCAGCATTGAAAATATCAATCTTACAGGGCACCTGGGTAGCTCAGTTGGTTAAGTGTCCGACTCTTGATTTTGACTCAGGTCATGATCTTGGGGTTGTAGGATCGAGCCCTGCATTGGGCTCTGCATTAGGCAGAGAATCTGCTTGGGATTCTCTCTCTCCCTCTGCCCCTTCCCCCCTTCTCTCTGTGTCTCAAATAATAAACTAAGTCTTTTTTTAAAATATTTATTTATTTATTTATTTATTTGACAAACAGAGATCAAAAGTAGGCAGAGAGGCAGGCACAGGGTTGGGGGGGTAGACAGGCTCCCTGCTGAGCAGAGAGCCTGACACGGGACTTGATCCCAGGACCCTGAGATTATGACCTGAGCTGAAGGTGGAGGCTTAACCCACTGAGCCACCCAGGTGCCCCAATAAACTAAGTCTTAAAAGAAAATATAAATCTTATATGTTCCTTTCAGTTTGAATAGTGTTTTGTGAACACTAAAGCATGCAAATGTAAATGATTATTATGTTATTTTGATGGTGGTAGACTCTTGAACTGTGTACCTTTACAAAGTTATTCCAGGGTTTGCTTTTGATGGTTCTTGGACAACCGGTGTCATTACTGAAATTTTTTAATTCTGTATTTTTATACTCCATGATTCATGGTTTATCAGTTTTCTGATTCTTACAACCGTCTTCTTTAAATTCAGCTCTGATGAACACACACCAGTGGAGGACGATGAGCCAAAGAAAAGCGCCAGTTCAGCTTCAACTTCAGAAGGTATTTTTTTAACTACTACAGAGCTGCTGTATTGAGAAGTTGAAAAAAAAGTTTATAAATAGTCAAACAGTAGACTTTGCTTTTACAAATCAAGTTGCCCATCATCTGTTCTTTTTCAGTATTTCAGATACAGTAAAATTGATAATCGTAATACTTGCCTAGAAGTTAATTTTATATTTGTACTTCATGTAGAAGAAAACAAGAAGTCTAATCATTCGAAAGAGAGGTCCAAGAAAAAGAGAAAGAAGAAATCCTCTAAAACGCAAGAAGTACTCTGATGACAGTGACAGTGACTCTGACTCTGACTCAGACTCCAGTGGTAAGAAGGCAGCATCATTCTGCAGGCCTGGCTTCAAAACTCGTTTTCCTTCATAGAACTGATTGCAGAGGAAGGTTAAGGACAGTGGCCGAGAGGTGTTGAGCACTGGCTCTCTTGGGTGCCAGGAGCCCCGCTAAGCGCTGGCTGTTCTCAGTGCCGCTCAGTCCACACAGGGCTCCAGACTGCGTCTTAGAGATGGGGAAATGGGGCGCAGAGCAGGTTGCGACACCGCACTCAGGCTCACACAGCTGAGATCCAGACCCGAGCGCTGTGACCCCAGAAGGGTGGTGTGTAGCCGTACAAGGCACGTCGTGGCAGCAAACCGAACCGAGGCGGGGTCGGGCCGGGAGACGTGTGGCAGCAAAGCCAGCCCCATGGGGCTGCGTCAGGCCCGGGGAGCAGCTCTCTTGTGTCGTCCTCACACTCAGGGGGCACCTCTGTGCCATTTTCCAAAAGGCACACCTCAGAGGACCCCCTGCCAGCTGGCAGCTGATTTATGGAGGACACCCCTACCCCACCCCCCATGGCGTGGTGCCTCCCAGAAAGCCCCCTTTTTGTGCCTTCTCCTGGCTGATGGTTGACAGGATGATTGACCCCCCGCCTCTGGGGACATTGCATAAAGGTGTCTCTTCCCCTGATGTCACTGGGGTTTCCTGGCTCCTGTTGTTACTTTTCTTCCTCACTGCTGGGAGAGTGAACTACCTTCTTTTAAAAAAAAAAAAAGATTTATTTATTTTAGAGAGAGTGTGCAGGTGGGAGGGAGGGGCCAACGGAGAGAATCTGGAGCTGACCTCCGCACTGACCATGGAGCCTGACCCAGGGCTGGATCCCGCTGCCCATGAAATCGT